TAATCATATTAATTTCTATTCCGATTCAGGTGAATTAGTAAACAACTTATATGAATTTCGTTTCATTTTTACTTCGATTCCAGAACATTTAAATAAACAGCTTCAACAGGAATCCAATTTTGACTCCTCCTCAATCCAATTCCTCCTCAATTCAATTCCTCCTTAATCCAATTCCTCTATTTTGATTACGGTTACGTAAGCGCGCGCCCTGATAGAGAATGTGGGAGTAGTTTAGAGATTTGTTAGGATTACTTGTAGGTGAGGCTTTGAAGAAAAAAAACAACAAAATTTGGTTGAGTGAAATTACATTTCTGCCCCATATTTCTTATTCATATTCTATTTTAATTAGAGAGTTAAATTAGTAATTTCATAGGATTTTGATTGACAATAAGTGTTTTATTAATTAGTAGTGATTAGTAGAGATAAAGGTATAAAACAAAGAGATGAATACGATTCTCATACACATAATACATTCTCTCTTTCTATCATTCCCTCTCTCTCACCCACTTTTTAAATTAGTTTCACAACGTAGGTAAAATTTTTCTTGTGTTGCTCGAGGTCAAAAAAAAATCCTAAGACCGGACCTCTATTCAACAAGGAATATTTTAACAATTTTCCTTCTTAAACTTTTGCATATATATCCTCTTCTATTTATTTTTTCTTTATGCATGACTCTGCCTTTCAATGAGATTTGGGTTGGTGGTCATGACTTGCGAGGCAAATTGTTTGTTTTGTTTGATCAAATATTAAATTTTTATCATACAAGAAAAGAATATAATGTTTTTGACTAAGCAGACTAGAAGAGAGATAGCCATATTTGCCCGTTGTTGTCCACAGTACATTCATCTGGTTAACAATTTGAAGAATTGGTGTACATTACATATGAATGTATTTTTGTCAAATGTACATGAAAGTCTTTGTTTAATTATTTCAAAACGTGCTGGAAGTTTTAGTACAGCCACTGCTTTTGCATCAGAACCAAAAATTGCATCGACGATTGACTGAAATGAAGAAAGAAAAATAAAAGAGTAAGCCACCGGGAAAGGCCGTTGAAAAAGAAAATCAAAACGAGACGTTTCAAACTAAAGACCATAACAATATGATAAGAGAAATTTAGTGCCAGCACTCTAAACCTACCGTTTTCAATATGGACTGTACCTACTACAATTGGTTTTAATATTCATTATGGTCATATATTTCAAAATAAGGTAACTTCCAAAAATGCCAAGCACCTATATATTTATATAAATTAGAAAATTAACAAACAGTAGTAAGATGTCACTTAGTGCTACGGTCTAGTGGTATTCCTTTTCACTTTCTTAGGTTCGAATCTCGTGAATGATGAATTCGATATCAAATTAGGTTGCTCATCGTATGGCTTAACCGAACTCCCACTCCTCTTAGTGTAAAAATATCAATGTACTCAAAAAAAAAAAACAATAATAAGATGCATTACGTTATCAGAACGGCGCTATTCTATACTGATATAAAAACAGATGTTATCTTATATGCATGCATGTAGTGGTACAAACGGTAGCTGAATAAGTCAAAGTAAAATTATACATATGATGGCGGACTATGGAATCACATTGTAAGGCGGGGAGTGCAATTTGTGGTGTCGTGGTGCTTCATGCGATTATAATATTTAGTTGGTGGATAAATTTTTATGGTTATTGGAATATCTAATCAGGCCTCGTATTATTTTATGTGCCATAATAAGAATCAACGATATGCATGATTAATATACTTAACTCTTAGACTTAAATAAATAAAAAATACTTTATGATTTGAGTGAAATGGTAACATCGATCCACATGTTATGAATTAAACAAAATAATAACACCAAGTGAAATAGTGACATCACATAGCCATACTTAATGTGTTTAACATCCCTGCCCGGGCCTCACCACATCCCGGGCTCGACTCTGCTGTAACACGATATTGTCCGCTTTGGACCCCGACCATGCCCTCACGATTTTGTTTCTGGAGACCCACACGAGAACTTCCCAATGAGTCACCCATCATGGGATTGCTCTTGCGCGAACTCGCTCAACTTCGGAGTTCTAATGGAACCCAAAACCAGTGAGCTCCCAAAAAGCCTCGTGCTAGGTAGAGATGAGAATATACATATAAGGCTTACAGGATCCACTCCCCTGGACCCCCTTAGGGGGTTCCATCGGAACTCCGAATTTAAGCGAGTTCGCGCGAGAGCAATCCCATGATGGGTGACCCACTGGGAAGTTCTCGTGTGAGTTCCTAGAAAGTCTCGTGCTAGGTAGAGATGAGAATATACATAGATGTGAGATGTTACAATGACATATCTACTTAAAGGGGTGGATAGAAGAAAGTATACAATTTTTTTTATGCAACGATATATATTCACTTTAAGGGTGGGTGGAGGAAATTATTTCACTATATTGAGTTTAATTTTTTTCTATTTTTGCACGAAATTAGGTACTTGAAACGTTGGTAGTGAAATAGACGAGAAAAAGTGTGAAATTAACTACAATACTTACAAGTATTTAATACTAAAACATCTCACAGTTAGTTATTGTCCTGAATAAGTTTGCTTAAAGAAACAAATAAAAACAAATAGAGATGTGCTTCATTACAAGTTGAAAGAGGACCGCGTTCCTTTTTCAAGATAAAAATGCTAGAGCTACAATTTTTTTTTTTTTTTTTTTACCAAAATATATTATCTACACTAAAAGGAACGTGGTGGGTTAGGTCTCAGAAGAGCTAGCAATAATGTGATTCAAATTCGTTTTTGACAAAAATCGAACCTAAGACATCTCCTTTACAAGTGAAGAAAAATACATTTAGACCGTAATACTAAGTAGCAGGGCTATCATCTTTTTAAACCATAATTATAAATCATCTATGAGGCATGGGAAGTCATTTTTATGTGATTAAATTTGTTTTAATTTTTTAATCGCAATTTCTAAACAAAGCGTGGAAAACCCTAGCACCAACCTTCCTGCCATTTACGATGTCCCCAACAACCTTGGCCAATCCATCGGATGGGAACTCGCTCCTCTCTTTTTCCCTCCCCTCCCTCCCCTTCTCTCATAGTTTTTTTTCTTCCTTCTCTCTTTACTTTTTTCTTCGTTCTCTGTTTACTAGATGAAATCATGAGCATTCAAACAAGGGGAGAGGGAAGGAGAGGAATAAAAAAAAAGGAGAAAATCCTTGTTCCAACCCATCAGCTGCCTTCCTCTTACCCTCTGTCGACGGCGTCAGCCCTTGCAGGCTACTCTCTCTCTTGCAGTCCCTCGATTTGACGTAATGTTATTTCCTCATGATACATGGGTTGGTGTTCAGTCTAAAAAATCCCTAGGCATTTTCAATTATTTAAAACCTAGACTATCTAATGAGAGAGTAACAAATGGAAGTGATAAGGAACATAGCGTTAAGAGAAAAAGGCACCAAAGTGGTTCACCGGGGAGATCGATTACGATGGGGATGGGGGTGGGTGGCTGACGGGGTTGGAGATGAAACTAGAAGCAAGACTTGTTGGAATAAATTATATATGTTAACTTAAAATAAAATACATATTAAAGTATTGCCTCATTAATTTTAATGATGTGACATTTTATTTTTAAACAGAAGTTATTATCTATACTAAGAAAATATGAGAATGGGTTAAGCTTCACAATGGATTAGTAATAATAAGGTTCAAATTGACATTTGGCGATAATCGAACCTAAAACCTTTCACTTGCAAGTGAAGAAGAATATCACTAGACTATAATGACATTTACATGTAATATACGGTGGTTAAAATAAAGTGTTCTCCTTATCATTAATCAACCTTTCAAAGTCTCAAGAAATTCTTAAGAGTTCCTAGCACTTCTGTTATGTGGTGTTCTCGCCAATAGAAAGTTGATACTTAAATTTTTTTTCTTTCTTTTTAATTAAATAAATTTAGATGTTAACTTCTCACACGTAGGAAACAACACCTAAAACAAGTGCAGGGAACTCCTCAAAATTTCTCCAAAGTCTCATGTTTGTTCCGCAGCCTTTGGTGCGAAAGTAATTCATTTTGTTACAATGCAAAGCCTTTGAACTTTGGCCTATTATTGTCCATAAAAAAAAACCTTGGCCTATTTTTTACCATAATTTATTTTCTCACTCACTCAAAATAATTCATATGATAACTTAAAGAATTGTTGCTAGTCGTAATAAGAAAAAGTCATCTAACTCTTGTTCATTTTTTTTTTCACTCTGGAGGAGTGGATAGTGATGTTTTGAAATGTCAAGAGCACTTCATAATCACAATAAAAAAACAATAAAAAAAAATTAGAGCAATGAATCATGAAGTTTAACCTAATTAGAGTGTGAGTTCTTGAACTTGTAAAACAGTAAAACAATAATCATTTTCATCAAACTCTATTAAATATTCCGTTCAAATCGGTTGCAGATTCCAGAGGAGCACCGTGAGCTTGAATCCAAAGATTTCCACCAACCCCTTCCACATGTGGAGAGATTTTGCAGTGCGACCGTCACACGGAATGATACACCACGTGTCGTTATATAAATAGTGAGATATGTGTGTTAAAATGTTAATATCTTAAAAAATAATATTTCCCACCACTTACATAAAAACACGTGGTGTACCATCCGTGTTCCCATTACAACTAAAAATTTCTCTCACATGTGAGTACAACTATTTTGTCGTATAGACAAACACACATATATATGTATGATAGAATCAAAACATATTTTATAATACTATAAAATTAATTATAAATAGACGCCAACATATTCTAAAAAAAAATATAAAAAAATAAAAACACTGAATTACGTGCGTGTATACAAAAGTTTGAAACTTTCAAATTGTAACATGTTGGACCCTCCCAAGAGAAATAATGAATTGTATAGTATTTATGTGCATTTTAAAATATCCTAACCTTGAAGATTCCACAAGTTAGTAGGTTCTCTAATTGCTATATAAGGAATGGGGTAGTGCCATTCATTTTATCGCAACCTTTCAATTCCCCTCTCTTTTCAAGTTTCAACAAATCCCTACTTTATATCTGCTCTTTAACTAGCTTAATGGCGCCTTTGGTTAAGAATGAGCCTCAACATGCCAAAATCCTAGCCATTGGCACTGCAAATCCACCCAACGTCTACCACCAAAAGGATTATCCTGATTTCTTGTTTCGAGTTACCAAAAATGAGCACAGAACAGATTTAAGAGAGAAGTTCGATCGCATTTGTAAGTGTACTTTTTACTACTCGTGCACATATATAATGAGCATCCACCAGGTTACCTTATATTTTATGACTAATAAAACATATCATGCATGAAATCATATGAAAGATTTTTACCTCTCAATGAATTGACTTTGATCTTGAGTTGTAAACTCCAACTCTATCATATTATGAGGTTAAAATGGATGATATCCCAAACCCAAGGCGCCACACGGCGTGTTTATTTCAAAGCATACTGTTATTAGCACAAGAAAATAGTCATCTTGGACATGTGAAAGATATATACATATATATATATATGTGCATTTTTTTTGTTGCAGGTTTTCTTCAGATTACATTGTATTATTTGATGAAGAATGATATAAAGCATATCCTAACTTAATTTACTAATTAATAGGTGAGAAATCAAGAACAAAGAAGCGCTACTTGCATCTAACAGAAGAGATGTTGAAAGCTAACCCAAACATATACACCTATGGAGCCCCATCACTCGATGTGCGCCAAGACATTTGTAACATTGAGGTCCCAAAGCTAGGGCAAGAAGCAGCATTGAAAGCCATCAAAGAGTGGGGCCAGCCCATTTCAAAAATCACCCACCTCATCTTTTGCACAGCTTCTTGCGTTGACATGCCAGGTTGTGACTTCCAATTAATCAAGCTCCTCGGCCTTGATCCATCCGTCACCAGAACCATGATCTATGAAGCTGGCTGCTATGCTGGTGCGACAGTCCTCCGCATGGCCAAAGACTTCGCAGAGAACAATAAGGGCGCACGAGTCCTTGTGGTGTGCGCCGAGATCACGACCGTGTTTTTCCACGGACTCACTGACACCCACCTTGACATATTGGTGGGTCAAGCTCTTTTTGCTGACGGAGCATCTGCTGTGATAGTTGGGGCCAATCCAGAGCCTGAAATTGAGAGGCCACTATTTGAAATCGTGGCTTGTAGGCAAACAATCCTACCAAACTCAGAGCATGGTGTGGTGGCCAACATTCGTGAAATGGGGTTTAATTATTATTTATCAGGAGATGTCCCCAAATTCGTTGGTGGAAATGTTGTGGATTTTATGACTAAAACTTTTGAAAAGGTAGATGGGAAGAAAAAGGACTGGAACTCCTTGTTTTTCAGTGTGCATCCTGGTGGACCTGCCATTGTAGACCAGGTGGAGGAGAAATTGGGTTTGAAGGAAGGGAAGCTTAGGGCAACAAGGCATGTGTTGAGTGAGTATGGCAACATGGGAGCTCCAACTGTGCACTTTATTTTGGATGAGATGAGAAATAAGTCGATTGAGGAAGGCAAAACCACTACTGGTGAAGGTTTGGAATGGGGTGTCGTGATTGGAATCGGACCGGGACTCACTGTCGAGACAGCCGTGCTGCGTAGTGAATCTATTAGATGCTAAATACTTGCATGAAACGATTCATACATTGGTTATGCATTTCATGTGATGAGATAAGAGTACTGCATGACCAGTGTATAGACACCCCTGCTGCAACTGATCGAGTTTTCTTCCAGTCAAATAAGTATTTCACGATCACAGTTATTGCGATTATTTCAGTTTATATACATAAGAATAATAGTCTTTGGATTAGAGGGCCCAGATATGTACGGCTAGTCCATAGACTTTGTTTTTCATATAATCAATAAGACTCTGTTGTATTTGGTTTGGAGTACATGCAAATATGCATGCATTATTGTAAGATTTTGAGACATTAACAAAAGAAATTAAAGGTATCCGTTTTGTTGCAAGCTCCAAGACCCGGGATCATAAGAAGCATATTAATAAACTATTATGAAGTAAAATGGTTGATAAGGTCGCAAGGGTTTGTCTTATTAAGCTGAGAAATCTGGAATCTTTATCAATTAACTGGTCCCTAGAGTATTATAGTAACAGAAAACAAGTTAAGGTTACGATCTATTTCTGGTGCACTTATTGTCTCAATGAGGGAGGGTCAAACATAGATTAGATTGTTTGGCCAAGAACGAGAAAATTTTCAGTGTACTTTAAATATGATTTGTACACATTATGTCATGATAAGTAGTGTATCAATCCATATTCTAGAAATACTGAAAATTTTCTCACCGAGAAGAGATCTAGTCTGGCTCGAAAAGGATAATACATCAACCTCTTGCTTGAGCTTTTTGTTTTGGGCGGTAAAGAAATACTCCATTAGCAGATTAAGAGGTTTGGTTTTGTAGTTTAGATGAACTCTCATTTTAATATACTGGGAGTTCTCTATGTGAGGGGAGAATCTGATGCATATGATGCACAGTTTTTTCGCCTTTTTTTTTTTTTTTTTTTTTGTGATTGGGTACACGAGAGATGTGAGTGAACGATTGAGTTTCACACATTCAGAAAGTATGATTTTAATTCTCATCACATGATTCCGATGCTCATTTGTAATTAAAAAAGTAAGAAATTAAGAGAATGTTTCTAAAACAAATGATAACCTTCAAGATTAGAAAATTAGAATCCACTAGAGGATGGAAAAATCTCCAACTTTATGTTAACAAAGAGTGATCTGTTGCAGTAGAGAAGATGAGTGCAGTAGAGAATGCAGAAACAGACAGAGAGAGAGAAAGAGAGAATTTAGAGAGAGAAGTAATCTTGTTCGTATTAATCTTTTCACTTTCTTACACAGTACATTTACATTGTAGTATGTTTATACCATATTTAGGGTCTCGTATTTAGACCTCGTATAAAAACTCGGGGGACTTAAATTTAATTATGTAATAAAGGAAAGGTCAAATATGTAATTAGGGGAGGAGCCCTTATTCTATAAAAGGGCCTCCTCACCCTCATAAACCCTAAGTCTCTCCTATCTAGAGCAAAGCTCTCACACTCTCTTCCTCACAAATACTCTTAGATAAATACAATCAGTGTGGACGTAGCCCAAACCTTGGGGTGAACCACGATACATCTTGTGTTATTTACATTACTTGCAGATTCACGGTCGGATTTACGTTATACCAAGACCTCTGGTTTTGTGCATCAACATTTGGCGCCGTCTATGGGAATCGACACAAAAAGGTATGTCGATTCTCTTTCATTTTTTCATCTCACCACCGTGAGACCTCACCACACTCCACTTGAATATGCAAAATCTGCACAAAAAAAACCCAAGAAAACCACACCACACCAATATTCTAATTTGTCCTCCTCACTGCCAGTGCTTTTCCACTTACTTTCCAATCCACCTTCTCTTGCTTAGATTAAACTCCATCAGACCGCTATTTGATTTCCCAACTGAATCACAAACGCCCATGATCTATGTGAAGAGAGTGAGAGAGTAAGAGAGAGACCATATCGTCGCAGAAGCAACGACGGAGCTTCCCGTCGATTGTGGCCTGCAACGTGGATGAAACGGCATCGTACAAGTCGATCATCGCCGACCTGGACGAGACGCTGCTCATCTCCTGGAGCTTCTTCCCTTACTTTATACTGGTGGCTATCGAAGCTGGAAACCTCCTCCGCGGCCTTGTCCTCATTCTTTCCCCCCTGCTCGTCATCGTCTCCTAGTTCTTGTTCTCCGAAGCCGTCGGCATCCAGATCTTCATCTTCATCTTCTTCTCCGGCCTCAAAATTCGCAGCATCGAGCTCGCCTCCTGGGCGGTCCTGCAAATCTCCCTCCTCGGACCCCTGTGGGCTCTCTGACAGTACCACTGAAGTGAAGGTGCTTGCTCATCAGAAAAGAAGCTGCATGCCTCATCACTGCTAAAGATATTGTGTTCATCTACCTTCACCAAAGGCTAGTAGTTCTTCTGGAACGGAAAGTAATTCATCGACGATGACGACAGCGAGGAGGACGAGGAGCAGTTGAATTTGAGAGAAGTGAAAGCCAGAGACTTGATGAGGTAATGGTTTGGAGGATGCCAGATGAAGACATAGTCAAGTTTGGACTGTTATCTTCATTCAATATCGCACTCGAGCCACTGTCCGAAGAGCCATCTTTGAAATCTGGGAACAATGAGACGGCTTCTAGTACTCCACTTGTGTTACTGAAGCTCTTAAAGTTGAGCCCTTTACACGTTCTAGAACAGCTGATCCCTCAAAAAAGTACAATGCTACAGTGCAATCCCACATAATGCAAACTTCTTTCCCAGTCTAAATCAAACCCCAACACTCTGCACACCAAAAACCAATCCAAAATTGGGCTCCGATCTGGAAATGGATTCAGAGTTGTCAAACGACCTGGGCGGAAGGGCTAGGCGGAAGAAAGAATGAGCAGCAGCCAGAGCAAACCCAGCCAAAAACTCCGACAAACACAAACCCAGCAAAAAACAGAAGTGGGCTGAAAATAAGCAGAAGCGGCGTCACCGACGCCAAGAAGCTCAACCCCATCAACCCCACAAGTAGTCCCCCAATGCATACAATTCCTCTTCCTTTGTTAAAAGATTCTTCTTTTCTCTAGAAACAATGCTAGACCTCGGAATTGTTTCTCTCTCAGCTTCTCTAACCCTCACTACCTGCCTTAACTTCAAATCGCTCACTGACCCACCGGATAAGGGTTCAATCAAGACCCTAGGCGTTGACTGCGATTGGGACCGGAGGCTCAGGCTCCCGACTTTGCACAATGGCGAGGTCAGCAATGGTCATGCAATCAGGGTTTTCCGCCGGAGCCGCCCCTTGGCAGGCCCGTCCAAGAAAGCCTCCAACGGCAAAAGTTTAAAGGATCATGTAAGGGACTGGGTTAGCACAAGAGTGGAATTGGGCATTCTTGAATCCTGGTGCTCGTTGCCGTTTCTTTATGGCGCAAAGAAATTGGTTGAATGTCTTGTTCGCCATAAAATTGCCTACGCCGAGGAAGTGGTCTCATGCTCTGTGAGTCTATCACAGGAAATGTGTGAAGGATAGGTTTGGGATCTCTTTGAAAAAATTCAAATGTCAGCAACATGTGGAATCATTCCCTTTTACAGCTGGAGTACACCAGCTTGTGTTCAAACAAAGGAAAAAGGATGAAGCATATATACCAAAGCTGCTTATATCAGTGCAGATCTTGTCGACAAGGTTGAAAGAAATATTCTCAAGGATGACCCTAGAAACCCAGCTGTGATAACTGATAATTGCTTGCACACTTCCTCAACCAATACGGAAGCGTTGTTTGCCATCTGCCAAAAAGGGAAAAGAGAAAGCAAAAGCAAGGAATAAACACCCCACCAGAATGATGTGATTTACTTTCCTTGGCAGATGTATGACATGATTTATTTTTCTTATCTTTCGGAGACATCTGTATAAACCCCATCAGAGGGTAATAAAAAAAATTAAAAAACGGCAAAGCCCAAAATAAATAGGCTGGAATGTTGTGTAAAGGGCGAAGGCTCATAAGCCCAAAATAACACCAACCAGGTCATCAAAAGTACGCCTAATACTCCACAATTATTCGGCAACCCGCCGCTATTACCACCAACCAGGTGACCAAAAGTACGCCCAGTACTCCACAATTATTCGGCAACCCGCCGCTATTACCACCAACCAGGTGATAAGATGTACAACCAGTACTCTAATTTGGCAACTAGCCATCCATGCCACCGACCAGGTGATGAAATGTACAACCTGTACTCCTCTTCATACCACCAACCAAGTGATCAAAAGTACGCCTAGTCATTCATACATAAACATTCATAAGCATCACTCATGACAATCATACATAAATATTCATGACCATCATTCATGTCAACATTCATGAGCATCACTCATGTTAACATTCATGAGCATCACTCATGTCAACATCCATGAGCATCACTCATGTCAACATCCATGAGCATCACTTATGTCAATATCCATGAGCATCACTCATGTCAATCAAACATTCATGAGCATCACTCATGTCAAATCAACTTCAAAAGCTTCATTTACAGAGCTCTAGCTTCAAAAGTTTCATTTACAAAAGTTCTAGCTTCGAAAGCTTCATTTACAGAGCTCCAGCTTCAAAGCTTCACTTGTAAAGCATCACCTACAAAGCTTCAGTGCAAGGTATACAAATACCGCCTCCAAACAACCGCCACTTCGACCCATACATGGATTCAATTTGAAGTCTCTAGCCAACAGACTCTATTGACCGAAGACTTGGGGGACTACATTATGTACCATATATTGGGCCTCATGAAAAATACTTGGGGGACTTAGCTCATTATCTATGTACTGAGGAGTGAGCCCTTATTCTATAAAAGGGACTCCCTCACTGTCATTAGAGAGCACACATTGTTCATGTACTGAGGAGCGAGCCCTTATTTTATAAAAATGACTCCCTCACCATCATTAGAAAGCAACGCCACCAGCTGAGCAACCGCCTCGCCGCGAGCATCACTCATAACCCATCACTTATGTATTGAGGAGCAAACCCTTATTCTATAAAAGGGACTCCCTCACCATCATTAGAGAAAATCGTCGCCTACTGAGCAACCGCCTCGCCGCGAGCATCAACTCTAGCCCATCATTTATGTATTGAAGAACGAGCCCTTATTCTATAAAAGGGACTCCATCACCATCATTAGAGAGCATCAACTCTAGCCCATCATTCATGTATTGAGGAGCGAGCCCTTATTCTATAAAAGGGACTCCCTCACCTTCAAACGCTACATGCTGAGCTAACCAAGGCAACATAAGCCACGAGCCAGTGTGTGCTACTTCTAGTTGAGCGTCATTTCAGATTGAGCACCGCCTCATATCGAGCATCAATTCAAGACAACATCTAATTATTTCGGCTCACACATGGACTGA